TACACACTACTATAGAATAACTTATATGATTTATATTTGAAGTTAACTGACTGATATGATTTAATGAGACCTTGTAACTATCATTAAACTGTATCCATGAGAATTTCTGGTTTTGCAATCATATGCTAAAATTTCTGTAAGTCATCTAAACTTCAGGTCATGTGTCTGAATTTCAGCCCAAATAGAGACAAACACTGGAATCAGAAATTGTATGCATAGTACTTACTACAGATTGATTTACAATTTCACATGCCAATAATTAACATTTTAAAATCAATACTTTGTTATATGCCATTTCTGCATGTTATTAGTAATGGCTTATTTTTCACGTATCAGTAGGGTTACCAGATAGCAACTGTGAAAAAAATGGGAATGGGGGGGGAGTAATAGGTGCCTATATAAAAAAAAGTCCCAAAAAACAGGACCATCCCTTTAAAAATGGGACATCTGGTTATCCTAAGTATCAGTTATATATGTTTTTGAATTCTGTATTCCAAAGTGTTTTGCAAAATGACAGCTGGGATGCTGTGGGCCATATACTGTTCTCAGTTACACTGATGTAAACTCAGAGGAACTCTAATGACACCAGTTTACACCAGTGTAAATAAGAGCAGCATTTGGCCATTTGAATATAAAATGCATGCCTGTTTCTTATCTAAAGTGTCTTTCAGTCTTTTTCAAATATCCTCCATCACTGGGAAGAATGTGCTAAGATATTATCCAAGTATTACCAGTAATTTTTATCATATTACTTTTTCTCCTCTCTCTGTCTCTACATTTGTTTCCTTTCCCATAGCATGAATTGATGCTTTTTTTGGAAGACAGAGGAAGAAGATAGCAAATCCCTTAAAAATCATTGTGGCTGGGAGAACAGATACTGTTTATTTTACACCTAGACTCCAGCTGTGTCACTCCTCATACAAGCTAAAGTTACATGATTTCAAAACTTTGTAGTGAACTCCAAGGTGGTAATATGATGCTGAAGGTAACACGATCCACTGACTAGAAAGATGTTAATCCTGACAAACTGCCTGAGCATTAGCCTGAACCACAGCTAGATTGAATTCTGTCTCCCCTGAGAGGGCCTGCAATGCTGGTAGTAACAAAACGTCTTTTCATAGTGCCCTGAGAAGCAGATGGGCCACTAAAGTGATTTAGAGAAGAGCATCAGTGCCCTCTAGTGCTCACAAGTGTAATGCCTTTGAAAGAACAATTACCAAATTTAGAGTGCCCCAAATTTCCAGCTACCATTATACATGAAAGAAATAGACTTACAGCTATAATTTCTTTACTACCACAGTTACTTCAGAGACATTAAACTACATAATGTCCAGTTTAGTAAATCTGGAGGAATTTGATATAAATTCCTTCTTGATTTCATACTTCTATAACTTTAAAAAAAACCATAATTTTTAAACTGATCCAGAGACCATAACAAATATAAGTACTGTAAAAACTACATCCAAAACTTGAGATCTTTTAGTCAAATCAATCCTTTGACTTATAAATGTCTCAAATATAGTCTTATAACCATCTTTTAATGACTTCAAACTATTTACACGAAAACAAACAAACAAAACAGGGGTTTAGTAATCCTATATATGCAGTTTTGGAGCATAGTATTCGAAATGAAAAAATAACTATACTTTCTAGGAGAATGTTTTGGAACCCCCTGATCTTCAACAATATAACTCAAATACACAATTAGAGACACCCCCCTACCTCCACCCCTGCACCCTCAGGTCACTGGGATAATTTTAACAATATACACTTGATACATTCAATATTGTTCAACTTATTAGTAGTACCATTGAGAAAAAAAAATAATGCGGAGAGTAAGTTAGACAGTGAAATGAGATGTCAGTACTTAACTATAAAATGAAGCCCTCTTAAATCACATGCATCAAGGCCAGATCTAAAGTCCATTGAAGTCAGTGGGAATACTTCCGTTTACTTCAATGGCCTTTTAATTTGGCCCAAGAAGGGGACCGTGAAAACCGAAGTGCCATTTTTTTTAAAAAAAGTTGTCATGTTATTAGAAATTGCCTATAGATTCTGAGCTTTACATACAAATACCAAGGCTTTGCCACCAAGAAATATGTAGGTATGTGGCTTAATGGTTTCAGGTGAAACAAGTGAAAATATTATTTCTCACACACTAACATCTGATGGCAAAACATCTGATTCAGAATGTATTCAAATAATTTTAATAGAGACACACTAAGCAAAAAAGAGAACTATTTTTTAAAGAAGTTTGAAATTGCATTATATTTTTATAAAAAACGGCTCAATACCTGAATTTAAAAGAACATCCTTTTAAGAATACTGTAGTAAAAATATTTTCTGCTTAGTCTCATTATTTGTTTAAATGATCTGTGGAAAATGTAGCCTCTAAGCTACTGCAACTCCAAAGTTGATACATATATTCTGAACTGAACAAAAGGCAATACTTCAAACTTTATTAAAATGGTATGCTAATTGCACTTGAACTCACATAACACATACAAATGTTTTTGCAGAAAAATCATGAGATTCTTTCTAACTCTTATAATTGCTCCAAATGTGTTGTGCAACAGAAATAATTTCATTTTATCATCCATCTCTCAATCGACATTTTTCTATAAAGGTCTTCATTCAAAAATTGCGAATCACAAATTGCAGTTATTTATCCCATCTATTAACACAGTTTATTATAATTGCTTCTGTAATAATGATCTAGTCCAGATCATCATAATTTTTACAGACAAAAACACTTATATAAGCAGACTTTGTGTATTTCAGCAAAGTTTAAGCTGCTATGAAAAGTCTACAAATAGCATATTCCAATCATACTTATTTCTTCATATTAGAGTACCAAGCTTCATGTTTAAATACAAATTCAATATTTCAACCAGAAAATCCTAATCACAAGGTGATTTCTAATTTGTTTTCCTATAGAGGTCTACATTCCTTGGTAAGATCTGTAGTCCTTTGTTTTGTAACTTTATTTTTTTGTTCTCTTGCAATAGCAAGGGAAACTGCTTTGGGAGTGCAATCAGAAACTCCTGTTTTCTAGGGTTTAATAATTAGAAGAAATGGGGGGGAGGCTTCTTGGAATAAAGATATGAAGCTTGGTTCCTTTGCTCTAGCTTGCATTATTCTCTCTCCTGTTCTTTATTGCTTATCTCCCAACATCAAGAATTGTGCTGATGTTGTGCTATAAAATTTTTGCTCATAATAAAACATCTGCATTTGCATTTTCATATAAAAAAATCCAAAGACCCAAAAGATCATTGACTTGTGTTTCAAATCCCAGTGAAAAAGGAATTGATTTATGCCCACTTCAGATTAATTATTGCAAAAACCCCTAAATAAATACAACATTTATTTATTAACATTTTAACTGGACTAGAGAAAAAATGTGATATTTACCTAGGAAACCACATAAATCTGGAAATATTGCAAGCTTTAAAAAAAATAAGTACATTGCCTGCTTCACCAGACATGTCTCAGCATCTCTGCTTTGGAATTATTTATTGCTTTTTGCATTCAACAGTTTTATTATTAAATAATTATAAATATTTGATTTCTTAATAGAGGTTTGATGGTCTGTGAACTTCTTATATCATCAACACAAATCAACAGGAAGAAAGTCCTTTCCCATGAGTTACAAACCATTGGAATGTGAAAAACAAATGAACTTCCCCCAAATTAAAGGCCATTTTCTGAATTAGTGACTCCTGTTGCTAAAGAGAATCCTTTGTCGTAGATACTTCGTTAGGTGAATATTATATTACATAGTCACACTGTGCCCTTTTTAGCAACGGTACGAAGAGGATTCCCCAGTATATGCTAACTGGCTTATTTCAGTCCTATCCTGGCCAAATTCATATTTTTAAAAGGGTGGATAACATATGAGCATATCTATGAAAGGTAAAGTCATTTACTATGATGTCAGACTGCAATATGTGCTCCTGGAGGATTACACAGGAAGGGATTTTATTCTAAAAGTTAATGGTATGTATGTGGACGTGCAGCCTTAAAGCGTCATCTAGTTTACCTTCATTGAGATTGTGATTACGTATAGACCATAATGATTTTTAAGACTAACCCAGTCTATAGATACCATCTTAGTATCTTGTGACTACTACTGCATGAATTTAAAAACAAGCAAAAAATCAAAGTCTTGCTCGCTTCCCCTCCCCCCCCCCCCTTCCTATTCTGGAGAAGGCATTTTTCATTTCATGCACTCCTATTTTCGCTTGCATTCTGCATATCCATTTCATGATTGGGAGCTACCATGGCAAGGGGAAAGCTGCTTTTCACTTCGTTTCTTTTGATGCCTGCTTATCCGGAGGACCGTTTTTTTGAACGCGCGCGCACACACACACACACACACACACGCGAAGATTGAAAAAAAAATACTGAATCGCAAGGAGATTTCTTTCCCCTCCGGAACGATCACTTCTTCCCCTTTTGGAACCCAGTCAGCTCCAGTCGCACCGAGCTGGTGCAGAGCAACGCAGCCAGACTTGCTCCGGCGCTAGGGATAAGAGTTGCCAGATGTGGCTTGTGCTTGCCCGGCGGTTGCTCCGGGACCCTTTGGCACGGCTTTCCCAATACTCAAGCCCCCCCGGACCAAAAGCAAAGGGTCTATGTTGGGTGTGCGCGCCTGCCCGTCCCCTCCAGGGGCTCGGGAGCACTCCCCACAGCACAGCTCTCCGGCAGCACACTCCGACCTTAGCCTTTCGCTGCTGTCAAGTTTCTAGCGCACACAGAGACATCCAGCCGGCTCGGCTCCCTCGGCCACTGGGCAGGGGAGCTATAGACAGCGACTCCGCTTCTATCTACCACCCGAAACGCTCCTTCTCTTCCCCTCCACCTCGCAGCTCCTTTCCCGGCAGCAGCCTTCACTTATTACCGTCCGTCCCCCCAAAATACCCATCCTCAAAGGCAACCCCAGCAGCAAAACCTCCCTCCCCGCTCTCCCGGTACAGCGGGGGCACGGCCCCGAGCCTTACCTGGGAGTCCAGCCGGGCGGGCTGCTTCCCTTGGTCACCTGCGGCGGAGGGCGAGGAGGCAAGTCCCATTCACAACTAGACACTGAACAGACACAGCAGCATCCTCAGCCTATTACACTCCACTGGCGGCGGCGGCTGAATGAGGCTCGGAGCGAGCGGCAGGAATTAGAAGCGGGGGAAGGAGGGGACGGGAGGAGGGAGGGAGGGAGGAAGAGCGAGGGGGAGCGAAGCAGGGTTAGAGGAAGGAATAGGCTGGAGGCTCCTGCTTCTTCCCGGGCTCTTCTCTTCCCTCCCAAGGGCGATTCCTCCCCGGGCGCTGGGCGTGGGAAGCTCTGAGGAGGAGCCCGGCGCCCCGTCCTTCTGCCCAGCTGCCCCGGAGGGGTGGCTGCCAGCAGCCAGGGCTGCGGCACGGCCATCTGGGGCGCTCCCCGCACCCCGCCATGGGGGGGGGGGGGTCTTCTGGGACCCTGGCTCCACCCCCTCCCCCCCACACACACACACGGGTGTTGGGGGCGAGGCCACCCACACTGCTGGGATTGCGGCTGGGGCCACCCGCTAACCCACTGCTCCGTCTCCTCAGGCGGGGGGAGCCCACCTAGGCGGAGGGAGGACTCGGTGGCTAGCGAAGCAGGGGATCCCTGGCTGTGTGTGGGGGGGTGCCCCACCCCAGCAGGGGGCCCCGATTGTGGGGGGACTTCCAGCCCAGCAAACAAACCCCATTTGTGGAGGGAGCTCCAGCCCAGTAGAAGGCCCTCATTTGGGGGGGAGGTGACCGGAGCCCTCCTGCCCCACCCCAGCCAGCGCTGTTAGTAGAACTAGGCGAAGCCTGGGGGTGCCGACCCCATCAACTGCTATTTTTCCAAGTTACAAATTTTCCTAGAAAGGTTCCTCAACATTTTGCCATTTGGCAAGCCCTGGGCAGCTCTGGTTGGTAGGGTGGAGGCGAGTAGCCCTACCATTCAGGGCCCTCTGCTGGGGAGGAGTTTGCATGACCCCCTGCTCTAGCAGGTGAGGTGGAGCTACAGATCGATCCCTCTTCCAGACCCCTCTGTCCACCCTGTCTCTAGTTGTCTGAGGACTACTGGCAGTATTTTCCCCACAACCAGAGGCAGAGGCCATGGTCCCCATCCCAGGCTGCTCAGTGAACAGCAGGAGTGGCTGAGTCTTTTCACTTCGTGGACCTCCAGAGAAAAGTACAGCCAGGGCCACCCTTCGAAAACTAATGGCAGTGGCCTTACTCCCCACCCCCAAACACACACAGTTAGGAACCATGGCCCAAGTTGCCCTTTTCCATCAGCCTTAGAACCAGTGGTGGTGGTGAAGACCTGTCTGTTCCCTGGATTCCCAGTGAATGCGAGGTGTAACAGTCATAGAATCATAGAATATCAGGGTTGCAAGGGACCTCAGGAGGTCATCTAGTCCAACCTGCTGCTCAAAGCAGGACTAATCCTCAAGTACTGATTTTTTGCCCCTATCCCTAAATGGCCCCCTCAAGGATTGAGCTCATAACTTTAGGTTTCACAGGCCAATGCTCAAACCACTGAGCTATCCCTAAAGCATCTCCTTGCTCTCTCACCTGTGCTCCAGCCACAGCAGATCATATATGGCCACCTAATATCCAGCCACCCAAAAATAAGCACAGCAGAAGCAGTTGGGTGTTCTCTAATCCCAGGAGCTTACTTTAGTGTTTGGGTTGGATGGATCCATCCACTGGAGCCTGCATCTGGTGGAGATAATTTGCCCATGCCTCAGTCTGTTCCACAGGTTCTCACCAGTTACACTCACATTGTTCTGTAACTTTATAGCCAGACCCCAAAGAACATGACTCTTGTACTTTGTGGTTAATTCAGCATTGCCAGCAACTCTATGCAGAGAAAAAAATGGCACAGGCACTCCATCGGAGAAGAAACAAAATGTGGAAGGGGGCAGCCTGGTAAGCAGATGGACTAAAGCACCCTGGGCTGGGAGGGACACAATGCTCATGAGCCCAGCAGATTAAAGCTACTTCCTCCTGAGTACCACTGGTCTCAGGGAAAGAGCAGGGAGCCTCAGGCACTCTGGGTTGGTAGAATTAGGTCCTTGGAGAATTAAAGAAAAAAAAGTATTCAAAGGGCCATTGTGAGTTGGAGATTCAATTCACAATCCCATTGGGGCAGGGTTACCTTTGTGGGGAAACAGTTTTTAGGGGGTAGGAATGTTTTAGATTACATACGGAGTAAGATCATCTGATATTATGATAGTACCTGAAAACCCCAATCCAGACTTAGGGCTCCATTGTCTGGACACTTTACAGACAAGTAACAAGGAAAACAGTCCCTGCCATATGGTGTTTATGATCTAGGTGAGACAGGATACAAGAAGTGAAAGAAAAAGATAAACATTGCAGGTGTGAATTGAAAGGAGTAAAACAAGCTAATAAAATATTATTTATTTACTATTTTATTTTGATGGGAACAGTGTTTTCAGGTGGCAGATATCTAGTGAGGAGGAAATTTGTTTTGTGGAAGAAGTGGTTTGGAGGAAAGTTTCATAAAAGCAAAGTTGATGTGGGGAACTAAGTGAGAGGAAGGTATTTTGAGGGAAGCGAGTTTCAGAGAAGTTATTTGATGAGAATGTATTTTGGATGTGCTTTGTGAGGGGAATTTGTTTGGGAGAGGGAAGCTGTGAAGAAGTAGGAATTTTGTGAGCATTGTTTTGAGGGAAGGCAGCACGTTGTGAGATTTTTACACAAGTAAGAGTTGGCTAAGTCATATAAAGTCTGGTCCCATATACAGAGCAGAACACAGAGTTTACTTTTCTCACAATGGACCTGATACAACTCCCAGTTAAGTTAATGGGACTCTCTCCACTGATTTTCATGCAAGGTAGATTAGGCCCTAAATCCTCTGGAATTATGACATGGAAATAAGCAATTGTTTTCCTTTGAGTATATACTGTAGTGACTGATACCTAGTGTGGTTCTGCTGTTGTCTCTAGTGGTAACTGAATTTCCATTTGGCAAAGCTCAGAGCTGGAGAGTTTGCTGGAACATGTTTTCTTCCCTTTTCCATTGCTAGTTTTGGGAGCATAGGTGAAGAGATGATTGTTGAGATTTTCTTTTTAAACTGCCGAGATCAGATTTTTCTTGAATATAAAGGAAATGTGAAAGCAATTTCAATCTAATTAAGCATACACAAAAGGTACTTGTAATACTCTGTAGTCAAAGAGCATATTGATCTATAATGTAAGGGTGCATTAATTCTATTCAAGAAGCATGTTAACAAATGAGTGTGTCAACATTGGATCTGGTGATTGGCTTAAGTTTGCCCCCTGCTTTCTGAGCTAAAATTTCAAAGATTAAAACTAATCCGATGTTTCTATTAGATTTGTCTTGTATCATCCTGTGCCTATAGCAGTTGTAGTTGGAGAGTCCCATCCTGCAGGAAAAATTAAGATGAAATTCTCATCCAAATCAATAGAGTCCCAAGCTCAGTGCTGCCCTTTGTGTATTCAGTAGCATCAACAGTCAGCAGCCAAACCACAAAACAAGACATATTAGGTCAAGTTTTGTTCATGATTAGAAACTGAAGACAGTGGTTTGCATGGATATATCTGAGGGCAGAATATGGCAAATTAGTATTAGCCACTCCATGGTGTAGAAATAAAGGAACAGTTCCTAATTACTATGTCAACATTCCAGGAGGTTTATTTTGGAAGGGCCACATTTTGATATCCTTACTCAGGAAAAACTCCCACTGAAGTCAATGGGATTTTTCCTGTTTCTGGACCAAGATCTGGCAAATAGCTCCAGAACACAGAGTCCAGCCTAGACCAAATACTAAAGGGAGATGTACAGGAGGCAAGGGAAGAAAAATCCCCTGGGCCACAGAACAGCAGAATCTACACCATCTGGATGGTTAAAATAGGTTCTTATGTATCCTCCCCTCATGGGATGTAGCATAGGAGGATCCACATGGATTACCCAAACCATGCCCTCCCAACCCTGCCACGTACAGTGCTCTGTGCCATGCAATGTCTTTCCATAGACCAGTTCTGCTGCGTAGGGAACCTCCCTCCTCACCCATGAAAGCTAGGGCTGGATGTTAGGAAGTGTGCATTGTGGCCAGTGCTCATTAAATTTATCACATTTAACTCGAAGAAAATCTGTCTAGAGATGACTTCCTCGTGCAAAAGTTAGGAGTGAAAAAGTAGCAAGTGTCTGCCATGGACATTGGTCTTGATCCTGCTCCCACTGAAGTCAAAGACAAAGTGGCAATGGGAGAAGAATAAAGCCCATAATTACCACTTGCATCTGCTAGAAACCTATTGCCAAAATGCAATCAGTGTCAGGTATAAATAAAGTAAGTTTATGCATATTTTAAACATTATTAAGCATTATTTATTTGTACATATGTGTATATTTCAGTTAGGAACATCTGTGATAACAGATCTGCAAAATTTAAGAGAAGGTGACTTTCTCTACTATGGGTTTAAATGTACAAAATCTGGAATTGGTTAAAACTCTGCTGGTTGTATAGTAAGTTAACACAATTTATCATTTGAAAATAAGCTAGCTGATTTGTTTTGTAAGCATCTGAAGAGTTACATGCAGCTCTGCTAATTTAATAATTGTTCTGGGAAAGTGAGGACTGCACTTCAGTTCATGAAACTTAACCCACACATTCACAAAAAAACCCACATTTCAGATGGAGCTAAAACAATTGTTTTGCTTCTAGGTTAAAAAAGTTAAAACTGGAGTTAAAAAAGTTATAACTGGACATATGTTTTAGTCTGCTTGAAATGGTTTGAGAGGAATTACCGACTGGTAAATTTTAAAAGATTCAGTTCAGATAAGCACTCCAAAAGTTCAGAAGGTTATCCCTATACCTTATCCATTTGGATTCTTTGTGATTATTGCTGCATTCATATGAAAGATTTGCCTCTTTTCCTTTCCCCTCCCACCCTTCTTCTCTGGTCCCCAACAAGCGACTTCCTCCCTATGGCTTCCAGAAACCATTTTTTCCTTCTTAGTTACCTATAACAGTCTTGCAACTTCCTTCACTCTTTTTGCTGGAAAGTATTAGAGGTATAAAAGCAACATGAACAGGGTTCCCACATTGCTAGCAGCAGGAGTTGGAAAGAGCTCAAAATGGAGGAAGATAAGGAACAGGTGAGAGAAAAGGTGTCAAGAAGAAGATGACTGAGG